AATTAATGCAGTTTAACACAATCCACACAGTGTAATCGCCACGGGCTAAAGATGGAAAAGTGGTCAGCATCAGAAAGGCAGGAAATATAACTGGCTATGCAGCTAGCTTACGCCCCTTGTTGTGTAGCTGCGCTGAGCAGGATTTTTCTTTCCACAGCTTCAACAAAGATTTAGGGTAAAATAGGAACTTCTTTATTTGCAGTTTGTGCATCAGAAACTAGTCAATAAAGGAAAGTCTTTGGATATAGTTTTGAGAGACATTTGCAGATAGTAAAGTAAGATATGAATGGAACTATTTGAAATTCCAGTTTTTCTTGATTGCTTCATTGCTTGGCTGTTTTGGCACAGCGAGGATTCGCTGAATCTTTGTGTCCATTTTCTTAGCGACTTATTCAGTTCAGGGTTTCAGAGGGATGGCACCTATACTAGCTGGAGCCTATATTACTGGGTAAGAGGCAGGGTACAAACTGGACACGTCACCAGTCTATCACACCCTCACATTAACATCTTTTGATACTTTAGGCTCACCAGTTAACTGATATGTATGTTTCTGGACACTGGATTAAGAACCCACAGGCACAGAGAAACTGTATAGACCTGTGGAGTCAAAGTAACTGTGATTCATCCTCTAAATGCATCTATAAAATTAAATTAAACATAATTAAAAATCATAAATGAATATGTCTTTACATTGTACAACCAAAAAAATCACCATTTTAGAGGCAGTATGAAAAAAAAAATCTGGACCACATATTTCTTCGAGCAGATTATTTCCTCCTGTTATAAGGAAATTGGACTTTCAAGCCAGACAAAACTACTTAAAAACTATTTTCACTGTGCTGAATATGAATTTTAAAATGCCAGAATTAATGCAAAGCCTCTCTCTCAGCAGACTTGATGGGTTAATTTGATGGCAGATAAATAAATAAATAAATAAATGAAAGCCTGCCTCAGAGAACTCTCCATCCATGAATGTGAATCTTAGTCTCTTATTGCAAGGCTGTTGTGTTTTTGCTTTGATCATTTCGAGCATTTAACCAATGTCACAAGGGAAAGAAAAAGTGCTCTCCATCCTGCCAACATGACGTATTGCAACATGGTCATAATCACTCGAGCTGCACTAATGCCTTCTTGCAGATTATAATATGAATCATTAAAGAGTAGGCTGATGGTGGCTATGGGGAAATTAAGGGAAGATAATTTTAGTTTCCATACCGGTAAATGAAAGCAGGCCAGCTATGGTCCCTCACTGTGAATCCAAGCTGCTTGTCTATTGCCCTGTCATTTGTACATCATTAATAACACCTTCAACAAATCTTCTCTCTTAGTGTGGCAACAGATTTACAGCTCAGATTTATCAGCAGCAATTCAGCTGAATCCATTCATTTCTTCCTTTCTTCACTCGAGAATAGTTGCTGGTTTGAAAATTCCCTTAAACAATTAGTCCTGCAGCCCCGGCTCATGCATCAGAGGAACAAAGACCAAATGCACCATGGGTATAATTCTGTCAGGTTTGTCCGGGTGGAGGACTGCCGATTACAGTAAACACCAACAACAGCTCTCTGTTGTGTCACAACAACAGATACACACAGAAACATGCACACATGCATATCAAGGTTCCAGTCCACTGAGTTATACAGCCATAGAACCATATAAACTACCGCTATGCCTTCATGCTATAAACAAAAGAAGAGGGGAAATGCTAATTTGTGACATCCAAGGACAGAAGAGGCAGCACATAAAATCCAAGACTTTTCGACTTCTTAGTTTTTTTGCATTTTTTTCCACACTTAATTGTTTCAGATCATCAAATACATTTATGTTATCCAAAGATAACTTGAGTAAATACAAAATGCATTTTTTAAAATCAGAATTTCATTTATTAATGGAAAAAGCGATCCCCACCTCCACTGTTAAATGTACTAGCCACACCCAGGCCTGATAGCGGCCAGATCACTTAAATAGGCCCAGAAGGACGGCCTTGCCTGCCTTGCCTCAGTTAAGGTCAGAGTTCATGATTCAATATATAAAAAGGCTGAACAAAAATGGCATCCATAGACAGAGGTGGGAAGTAACAAAGTGCAAATACTTCCTTACCGTACTTAAGCACAATTTCACAATTTTTTACTTTTACTTCCTACATTTTTAAACAAATATCTGTATTTTTAAAACAGGCTTGTTTCTTTTGCTTTAACGCATTTGGGTCGAGCCTCCAAACATCAAACCAAGCCTAAACAGAAACACATGAAAGGCAATCCTGTTCATTTCTTTATCACCAGAGGATAGTCGGAGGCTAAAAGAGGAATGGGGGGGGGGGTTGTTTTTGCCACAACACCAGAATTATTGCAGGTGTCTGTACGTTGCGGTAATTCAGCATCTAGCTAGTCCTGACTTTTTTAAAGGGAGTGACTTTTTTAAGTGGCCGGTAATTTCAAATGTAACGTTTCTATCAGCTCAACAACCATCAGCAAACACACAAACTGTTTGTGTGTAGCTTGTTACACAGTGTGTTGCTAGCTAAAGGTCCAGCTGCTGTATTTCACAGGGAGAGAAAAGAAAGAGCTTCACTCAGAGATGGAGAAAGATAAGAAAGAGGACAGAAGAGGAAGAAGAAAGGCTAGATTTAAAGGTAAGGATGCTCAGTGAGATTTGATAAACTTGGAAATTTAAAGCTTATGTGTAAGTCCTCATGCTTTTAAATGTTTAAATGTCATTTTTTCATATTGTGAAACATGCTGCAAATCAAACTGAAGTAGACTAACTGCTACTTAAAGGTTGCATTAAAATCCTCTGTAGGTTAGTGCAGGATGAACACATTAGTTTGCTCAGCTGTGATAAATTTAAAGTAAAGAATAGTGTGTGAGTTGTGCACAGTGGCTGTGGTTTCATTGTCAGAGTTAGGTTACATGAAGTGTAGCAGAGATTCATTTGAATTTTAGCCCATGATGCTAAGATCCACTCCCATACAATTAGTATGGATGCTGATTAAACATCCACAGTATTGTTCTTGTACGCTATCTCTTTTAACACTGTTCAACTTAGAAAAACCATTCAACCACCATTAGATTCCTCTTCTTTTAGACATGTGTGCTTGTATTTTTCTCATTTTTAACTTTTATATATTTTTTAAATTATTCAACTTTATTCAACAAAAATTTACAGTGTATTTTCAATGGGAGAATTTAAATTCTCATTCAACTTACTCCTCTTTCAACTCTAACTACTTCCACATACATTGACCGACAGACACCATTCAAACTGTAAAATGAAGCCACGACATTGAACTATTCAGGTTGTATTTATCTTTTTAATATCTTTTATACTTTTTCTTCAGTTCCAGTCACCGTTTCTGAGTTTATAATGGGTGTGTATGGGACGCAATGTTGGAGGTTAGAGTGAGACAGCTCAACTGCTTGAGTGTGAGCAGGGGAAAAATTGATCTTAAAAGTTTAAACTGCTGCTGTGTCCACAGTGTTTGGTGTACAGCCATCATTTTACTCTCAAAAGGTAGCCATCGTTGTTCCCTTTCATCCAATGTTATTGTTATTGTAATGGATGTTATGGTTCTTTCATAAATGCCACCAATGCACAGCCTCCTCCATGGAACTCTTCCACAGAGTCCAGTGATATTATTTTCTCATTATGCTAATATAGCAACTAGGTTCACAGTTAGCTTTGCACAAAAATAGAAACATCCTCGAAAGAGCTCATTTTTACTTTCTTACTCTGAGTACATTTTAGTACTTTTTTACTTGAGTAAATAAGTTGAATCAGTACTTTAACTTTTACTGGAGTGTTTTTTAACAGCAGTATTTATACTTCTATTTAAGTACTTTGCCAACTCTCCAATAGGAGAGTTCCAAGGAGAAAACTGTTGCTGACTAAAAAGAACACAAAGGCTTGTGTAACATTTGCCAAGAACCATATTGATGATTCCCAAAACTTATGGTAAAATATTCTTTGGCCCTTTTTGAATTCAAAGCTGTTTTAGATAACGCTTCAAATAAGTGTGCAAATAATTACCCACAGCCATATTGAAATGGCTGCCAAGTGGCAAGACGTTCTTCAGGAGGAAGTTAATCTGTGTGGTCTGTGTGGATATTTCTGCCAGATGAGGATAATAGCTGTAGCCTAGAAGGACTCATCAAAGATTTTGTGGACCATGAAAATGATTATCACATGCTGTGATCTCCACGATTATTAAATCCCAACAAAATCAAACGCTCAAACAATGTTTAGAAGCACAGCATATCTTTTGGAAGAATGGTGTTTATCTTTTTGGAAGCTCTTGATAGCCCAGATACTTGTTAAGATGTTTTACTTTTTGCCTTTAACAAACTAACCATCTGTTTATGAGAATTCTTGATTGGCTGCCCTGTGGCACTAATTATCTGACCATTACTGCCACACAATTTCTTGAGACAAATTCCCAAAGATTGAGCAGTAAGCCACTCCATCTGAACAAACAAGATATTTTATAAAGGATGTCCAGGTGAGTATGCTGTATAATAAAACTGTACTTATCGAGCAAAGACAAAGCATCAGCTCTTAAATCACGAGTTTAATTACCTTGTCTGAAATCATCATGCTTATCACCTACTTGACACACCCAGAAAGTTTACCGAACAGTTATTTATTTCTAAGTTAACTTACCTTCATTTGTTTATTTGTTGCATTTTTGAGTGGGTTGTCCATCCATGTTCTTGCACTAATCTAATTCTAGGTTGTGAGGGGAGCTGAAGAATATCTCAGTTGTAGCAGGGCCAAATACACCTGGACAAGTCACCAATCTGTCGCAGGGCTAACACCATACAGACAGTCCGTTTCAGTTCGTTTCAGACTGTCTGTCTGTACAGACAGACTGTTTCACTTTGCTCTCTTCTCTTTCTCCTCACCTCCAACCAGGCAGATGGCCGCCCCGCCCTGAGCCTGGTTCTGCTGGAGGTTTCTTCCTGTTAAAAGGGAGTTTTATCTTCCCACTGTCGCCAAGTCCTTGTTCATAAGGGGTCATATATTTGTTGGGGTTTGTTCTAAAATATTGGTCTTTACTTTACAATATAAAGTACCTTGGGTTGACTGTTTTGGGAATTGGGACTATATAAGTAAATTTGAATTGAATTGAATCTCTTTGGGCCTCACAATGAAAATTACACTTTGAATTCACTTCCGAATCATGTGTTCCTTATCTGATATAGCGCATCAAACTATTGTCAATCCACCTAACTTTGTCTCCTTTAACAAATAAATAAAATCAGATTAGCTTTGAAGTATTTACAGAATATACACCAGTGTCAACATAAAGGATTGTTTTTCAAGGTTTTATTCAAAAGAAATGTAAACAAATTTAGAGTTAAAATACAAAACTAAGCAGATAAACATTTGCACCAATAAATATATTTTAATCAAGATGAGAGTTGGCTTACTTTATACTTCCATTTGTACACCTGTTTTTTAAACAAAATTCGGAATGATTTTTGCACTTTGGTTTGAATGTCCTTTTAATGCATTAGAAGCCAGAAAAATTCAAACATGCTGCTCGCCATCATCAGCACCAGCATCTTGTTGATTTGATGCTGCTCTCCACACATGAAGACCAACTGTCGAAATACTCACAGTCCAAGTGGCTTTTTCATCAACAACAGAATGTGCCACTCCTCCTCAAAACAGGCTGTGATGTCTAAAAATTTTCAGCCTGGTCAGAAATGTGAAATAGATAAAAGCTAGGCTTACCAGGACATTTTTCAGTGGGTATAAGAAGGGTGTTACAAAGCCAAACACAGCAATCAGAGCAACCCGCAAAACAAAGAAAGGGAAGTCCTGAAGAGCAAATCCAGCAGAAGACAACAAGGGGTTGTGAGGTGTGATAATCATACGAAGAGTAGACAGGAAGGCGAGGATGTAGACTGGGAACACCCAGCCTGAGTAGAACACTGAGGGCAGTCCTGCCACTCTCACCATCTCCACAGTGTCAAACCAGAAAAGGAAACTATCCACAAATATTTCTGACCTTCCGTCCCTTTTCCACAGGATGCTCGGGCGACCCGAGTACGACAGAGGGCGTGAGGTTGAGGAGTACAAGTAGGCAGTGCTGGTGATTCGTGTTCTTGGTGGTGAGTTGGCAACATCGTGGAATCTGTTAGAGGGACTGCCATTTTTGGCCTCTGGTTGGCCTTGGGTCACACCGTTCTGGCCTTCTTCAGGATTCATCTGGCTTGATACGGTGGTCACTGGTTCCATGTGGGTGAGGACAGGGCCTGATATGTCAAAGTCTGAATCTAAGCTGTCTGCTATAAATGACAAAACCAAATTTTTCTGTATAAGTTAGGTTATCCGAAAGACTAGCTAATAACAAGAGAACTGGTCTTTTTTTAAATCATTTTTTAAAAATAAGAGAAGAAAAATCATCTTTAGCATATGGTTACGACAATCATGTGACGGGGTAAGGTGGTTAGTGTTAGGTTTTACTGTAGACTGTAAGGTCCAGCTTCCATGAATCAGGCTTCTTACTGTACATTTAGCAGATACATGATTTGAATTTGGAGAATTTGTCATGTTGGTCAATGTTTTGTGCTCTTGTGTTCTCCAGCTGTTTAGGTGGGTTGTATTCAACTGGTTAGAAAATGCACAGGAAGTCTATGACCAAAGTCCCAAAAACTTGACTCTGTTCATCTGGATGTAGAGTTTTCAGTGGTAGAAACATTTTCAAGTATCACTCATTCAAGTGTTTCTTCTGTCTCAGCTGACTGCAGGTTTCCCCAACCTTATAAATCGAGTCAAGTCACTTGGTGACGAAACATTTCTCCCACTGAAAATGCTATGTCTAGATAAACAGAATCAGGCACTGACGCAATGTAGCAGTGGTACAGGGATGTATTAGGGAGAGCTGGAAAATTTTGCAGCTGACTAAACAGCTAAATTAGGAAGGGTGTGTTTATTATCATCCTCTTTGGCTCTTGGCCAAGGCGGTTGGACTTTTTCTCCTCTCCTCTCCCCCTTATCTTCCCTGCTTAGCCTCTTGTATCCTTGTCTAGTCTTGTGTATTTTTGTATTACTTTTCCCTGGAACACTCTCTCACAGTCTGTTCTCGAAAACCTAAAGAGGAATTATGGATTTGATCAACTGGTCCCTGAATGCAATTGACACCCTTCTCTCAACGAGAAGTCTGGGCTCGGGTGAGCCTGAGTGCTGAAGATATCTACCTATTCGGAAGCATGATAACAGGGTTCTTGCTGATCGGAGCTGGCTTGGCCCTGACTTATCGAAGATTAAAGAAAGTGGAATTGGCTGTTCAAAACCCCACAAGGCTGCCCGCTGGGATTGAATCAATGGGACGAGTGGTGAGTTCTCAAAATTGGCTCATTGAGCGCAGCACGGATAAGATCTTGGAGAAGCTTACGGCTGCCGTGAACACTCAGAATAAGACCTCTGAGCGAAAATTGGATTACATCTTGGAGAAGTTCTCAGGATCTGCTCTTTGAGCACAAGAATGACAACATCACGGAGCGCAAGTTTGATAACATCATGGAGAAGCTCACGGCTCTCCAACAGGAGATTGAGAGACCAGTGTCGGACTGTTAGAACTGCTTTGAAATTCACATGAGTTGTTCGCACTAAAGTAAAAACCATCATCACTTCATGCGGCTACCACTTCGGCGCCAGCTGTGATCTCAAGGCTGGAGCTGAACAAAAACACCCTGATAACAGACTGTGCTTAGACTGTTCTTCCTATCCTACACAAGGCCACCTGGGTTGGCTGGAAGACTGTTTACTTAGCCTAGCAGGGCGAAGGACACTGTCTCAGCTGAACTCTGGACACACACACACACACACACACACACACTGATGCACACTCATCCCCCCTCCCTTTCCAGACGCCTTCGATGCTTGTGTCCTACCGGGGAAGATGGCGGTCGATTGGACCAGCGCAGACATGCTGCAGGACCGGATGCGCTGTCTACACCGGCTCTCTCTTAACCTTTACCCGCCCCTGTTGCTTGTCTTGTGTTTCTATGGTGTATTGATAGTCATGTGCTTTTTGTGCTGAGGTGTTTTTTTCTGTTATCAAACTGTTCACCCACTAGGAGCTCAGTCTGAGTGGAGTTTTTTTCTCCTCCTCTCACCTCATGTTATGTATTTTCGTTGTTTTTTTCCTATCAGCCTACCTCTCTGACATGTCTGCCCAATGTGATGTTTGTGTAAAGTTTGGTCAGAAGATTCCTTTGTAAGTGCGCATGCGCCATTAGCGTGCTGCCTGCTGTAACCCTAATTTCCTTTGGGATTAATAAAGTATTCTGATTCTGATTCTGATTTGAAATCTGATGTGAGTGAAGTGACGGATATTTCTCTGAACTAGCTTGCAGTCTGTGCTGCTTTAATGAAATAACAAACCAATAAAATAAAGTGTTACAAATAAGCGCAAAAGGTCTATGGATTCAGTTAAATAACCACTCCCGCAGAAGATGAAATGTGACGCAAAAATATTCAATAATCATAAAAGATTTGGAAGAATTCAAGCCTTACATTTTCCCATGAGTTTGCAGGGTCGAATCCTCTCAATGATATCCACCCAGATGAGGAAGAAAAGCACCAGGGAAACTGGCAACTCAGAGAAACTGTCCAGTGTCTGTCCTCTGTCCACCTGCACCTGTGTTTTCACAATAATAGAAAATACTCATAAGTGGAACAATGAATGTATTCATTCATTGTTCCACTGGTAAAGGATGGTAAAGGATGGTAAAGGATAAAGTGAGGGGAAAAAATGAAACTGAGAGTCTTTGTAACATTTGTCTCCAATGAGAAAGAAGCGCCTACATTCCAAGTTTTATGAACCCATTAGGATTTACTTCCCTATCCTTGCAGATTTACATCTTTACGCCCGTAAAATAAGAAACACTGGGTGAATAAATATGAGAAACATCTTTGTGCTTATTTATGTTCTTGTTGGAACAGCAATAAAATACTAAGTGACACAGTGTAATGTAGGAATAAAAATTCTTTTCTTTTTAGGGTCGGGGATAGCATCAAACCTTAAGTTAATGGACAACCTGTTGTTTTCACTATAGGTTACTGAATAGCTCAGAGGGAGGGCAGTCTTGTGACTGGGGACCTATTTTCCCTGCCAAAGTCCTTCTCACAAATTCTTTGACAATATGGCAAAAACAATAGGTGTACAAACATGTAGTATTTACTTCATTACTATATTATTACCTAATAAAGAATACAATACAACTGTACAAGAGTACAACTTCTTGCTACCTGTAGATTGACATTGAATAAGTAAACCTCAAGAGATCATGGTGAGTCCGTGAGAAGGGATGCTTTTCTTTCTCTGTGGTGCAGTGTAGCATGTCGCTGTTCACTCAGTGAATAATTATAGTGTCTTAATACTGTGGCCTCTAATGGACTGTTTACAACAAATTCTGTATGCCTCTTCAAGGACCCTGTCAGAGCATGACTGAACAAAACATCAACAAGTGCTCCTCAGTGACAAGATCAATCAGTCTTGGTGACATTACCTTGGAGCTGGCTATTAGGATAGCAAAGCACGGTAATGTGCACAGGATGAGATATGCCATTGCTGTTGGCCTCCTGAAAAAAACACAGCTTACATTTACATAATGATCATCCCATAATGAAGAGTAACTGTTCTTTTTTTAACAAGTGCATGAGTTTATATTTAGATTTTTAATTTGTGTTTGAAAAGACTTTGAAGCAGTCTTTCAGTTTTATGCAGCTTAATAATTCTAATCTATAACACAGCAGCTACACTCAATTACAGTTGTTATCTATGCTCACTTGGTTTATATTCCCTTTTGAGAGTAAGGGAAGACTTCATTTCTAAGGCATAAATATACTTACATGATCTAAAAGGTTGTATTATTAGGGGTAGCACTTAGTAGAGAGGAGTCATTAAACTAATAATTAATAGTTAAAATAGTTCATCTGTAATTTCAGTTGCAATAAATACTACCAAATGATGAGCTGTAATACCAGACAATTTAAGACTGTAGCAGCAAATCACAGAACTGAACTAAAGTTTACTCAGTAAACTCGACTTTTCACATTTAAGATGTGATTTATTCTTTTTTTTTTTAAGGTTACACAGACTCGGTTTATGTTTATACACACAAAACGATAAGCTTGTCACTTATCACGTTCCAAAAGCCTCAACTCACCACTGCGTGACCTCTCTGATGAATCCCCGCTGCTTAATAGTCATATATCTGACAGGAGCCCACACCAGCAAGGTCACAGAGGTCACATAGGCGATAGAAGCCGCCACAACGAGCCAGTATGCTGTCTGATCCCGTCCTTTCACGTTGTATATGAGGCTGGCAAATCTCTCCATGATTACAAAGATGGGTACAATCAGTGCTGCAAACTGCAGCACCTCATACAGGATGAGCTTGACTTTCTTCCCCGAGGGCATGGTGCTGGATTACCAGTCGCTGATCTGAACTCAGAGCTTAAGACTTTAACAATCATCTCCTAAAAACGAGCCAGTGGAGACGCTGGACTCTGCACACTGACATTGCTTACACTGCACTGGAGGCTGTATTATTTTATTGCTGAGGTAATGAGGTGATCATGCTTGTCTTTTTTTTAATTTTTTTTTTTATGGGGGGTGACAAAGAAGAGATCTCCCATCCTATAATATCACAGGGGCAGATTACACCGAGCTATAATTGTACACACCTTCCAAAAAGGAAGAGTGACATTTGTTTTTAAATGCCCATCGCAGGTGAATATGGAGGATTTTTAGGAATGTGTCATCCTGGATACTTGTGTATTTTTGGAGAACCTCACTGCATTCCCTTATGCGAAGAGGAGATGTAGGTGGGATCCTAAAAGTGTTATCTTAAGATATTTGGTTGTTTGACCCATGTGTTGTTGTTTTTTTACAGTAATACACACATTGTTTGCAGATATAATTTTACAGTGAGTTGATGTTAAAATTTCAACCAGATAAACCTTTATAGTGAGCATAAACTATTCTTAATAGTTTCCTACTGCAGTTACAATCACAGTGACATGCTGAAAGGCTACATGCAGCTTTGCTCAGACATGCTCAGATCTCCACCTGGTGGCAAGAAGAAGGATTTTCTAGGTTCTTGCTTTTCTCTAAAGAAAAATTACTTAGTTATGAAATACATTCTTGATATATAAAGCATTAACATTTGGAAAACCATGGATGGATTTGTGTGTGTGTGTGTGTGTGTAGCTGAAACGGAGGTATACCTTTCCATCGCTAAATTCCCAACCAGATAAAACTTAATTACTTCCTACTGCATTTAAAGAAGCCAGTTGTTGTGATTTGTCGCTGTATAAATAAAACTGAATTCAATTTAAAATCACAGTGACACGCTTACAGCCTTGCTTACAGCCTTGCTTACACATACACCAAACTCCACCTAGTGACAAGGAAGAGGACAATTTTCTAGTTTCTTACTGAAAGGAAATCAAGCTATATAATCATTTAGTTTTTCCAAGTTTCTCAATCATGTAGGGATGATTGTAGGAGGGGTTTGGGGGGAGCTTAAGGCGTTTCAGTTTGGCTGGCCTGTCTTTGACTGGTGAATATGATATGAATATAATATCCTGGGTGCTTGTGTAATTTTGGGAGAACTTCCCTGCATTGTGTTATGTTAAAGGCAGAGGGCATGTAGGACAGAGACTGTAAAATATTGTCTTACCTGTTGTAACAGATATGTCCATTATGTCTAATTTATATCAACCAAATAGGTATTTCTGCATGAGGAAAACTTAAGTCTCACAAACAGTAAACAATTAAACAAAATTGCTCAAAAACTTAACCATTAAAGCATCAATCATCACAGTATAAAAGTTAAACGTCAGTGACATCTTCTGTCCAGTTAGAAAGCATAACGTGTTGTTTCTTTTTCAGATCTGGCACATCTGCTTAGCATGAACCTGCTCTCATCTGTGTAGAGAACAGGGTGTCAGTGGTAAACACCAGTCAAGCTGCATGATGCTGAGCTGTGAGCATTGACCTATATGACACCCTGATGGAGTCTCTTTCATAAACCTGTTTGAGGTCATTTTCTAGAACTCTGGCAGCGCTCTTTTTCACACAAATAAATACCGGTCCTGCTGCTGGGTTTACACCCCCTCTGCTTCCCTCTCTTTGCAGTTGCAGGCCCATTTCCTGGTTTGTCCTCCACACTCTGGGAATTGCGCTGGGAGACTACCTGTGCAACCTGAACCAGCTGCAGCAAAACCAGAGAAAAATCAGTCAGCAGGGAGAGAGCAACAGTCTGCATCGACCACCTGCACAGTCTTTGCTGTTTTGGAGGGGTTATTTGGTCGTTGCCTAATCACTGCACCTGTTGTCACACTGAGTCACACCAAAGCAGGTGAAACTGATTCATGGTGGTTTATACTTCTTAACATGACGGACGGATCATCCTTTAAATAACGCAGACTGTGTGTGTCATACTGTGATAATCAGGACCACTCTTACTTGCATAAATATATGAACACAATATCAAGCCAAGTGAAGTCATTAGTATTCTGTACATTTGGCCTGGTTTTATTGTGAATACCAATTAATAAGTATGGTTAAAAGAATACATACAAACAGCAGGGTACACCTTTAGACGGAACCTTTACAATAATGTTGCTTTAAAACAAACAAAAAAAAAAAAAAATGGCAGCATCTCAGTCCTGTACAAAACAAAAAAAACACATCAGGTTACAGTCCAACTCTGGGGGTGCAGCAAGATGTGACATTTGGATGATACGTGACAATAAACTGGCTCCTATGGTCCCAGAACAGCTGCTACTTTGATATTTTTAACCCTCTTTGAACAAACAGATTAATTTTCCATTTCGCTCCTGATTTTAGTTGAAGGCAACAAAACAAAGAAACAAAAAATATTCCTCATCTTTCTAGCGCTCAATTAAGGAACTGGAGGTACAGAGCTTAAAACAAGTCAGTTTGTAATCTCACAGTGGTGTCGAGAAGTAGGAAGTTTGAAACATAGTACCTCCTGAAAAACTTAAACGACACCAATTTGTTAGATCAACACACTAATTTCACCAGAAATTGAACAATTCTTAATAATTCCTTCATGTAACATCATTTGATGTCAAATACAACAGATAAATTAGTTTCCTTTTTTATAGTCCAGTCAGTTTTTGTAAACATGAACTCTTTCCCAAAGGCTTTGTCCGAGTAGAAGCAATATAAATTAGATAAATATGAAGAATAAGGTGAATACGGTAGGATATGAGGAGCAGACCTGTACATTTGATCTTGAATGACTTACATAGCGCTAACTGTTTAGCTTAGGGAGACTTTGGTAAAGAGCCGTTTACAAATCCTGACTCTGAATATTCAGAATCAGAGACACCTTCAGGTAGAATCTGTATTAGTGTTAACGGACAGGTTTGAAAAGCATGGAGGGGTTCAGTCAGCTTTTACATTATCATTTGAGCCTACAGTACATCAAGCATGTATCAAACACAGAGAGAAATGTCCATGTTCTTGTGTAAGCAATTAAATATACAACTAAGTTAGACAGAATATTACATATCCTGATCTATTCTCTGAATACATACATCCTTCACTGCTTCTCCATTTAAAATATCTTAACAATAATCAAAACATAAATTAAAACGTACTACAAAAAGAAAAAAATAAGCACACTAACTAAAGAAATGCTTTAAAGACACTGGGGAGACACTGGGGCTCTCCCACTTAGTAGCCAAGTCTGTGGTGCGGGTTTGCTAACACAGCCCCTGATGGGTACAAAGCAAAGCCATCAAAAAAGATGCGTAACCGCCCGATTTAAAAGGAAAACTCTGCAGCATGAATTAAGCAGTCAGTCTTGTTTCTTTGAGAGGAAAAAAAACCAATGCAAAATGAATAGAAATAAAGAAATATACCATTTTGTTTTCAGACACTTTTTCCCTGCAACCACTTTGTTCTCTTTGGCTCGACACCTTTCAACACATCTGGAAAATCCCGACTGCAGAGTTCGCCTTTAAGGCTGAGAGAAACAGCCGGAGCTGTGCTAGCATACAGCTCCACCCATGAGGTCATCATGTGGCTTCACTACTAGTTCAGTACAGTATATACAAGAGTTATGTGCATGCTTCAGTTCCTCTACTTTCTTTTCTCTCCAAAAACAAAGTGGCTTCAGTTTTCAGTACTTCTAAAATTTGACAACATATACAGAATGTAAGAGTATCCTGATGTTTTCAGCAGACCAAAAGTCCTTTAATTAAAAAAAAGAAGAAGAAGAAGAAAAAAAGTTGACACCCCTTTCTGAGACATGATTAGAACTATAGTTTGTTTAAGTGGGTGAGAAAGCTGTGGGACACTGTCATTTTATTTCTATGTCAGTGTGTGAATGAAGGAAAATGATCACACACTACTACAGGATACGTGAACCAAGTAGTGCAGCTGTGTCTGTATGTGCATTCGCTGCTGTATGCCAGCCTGTAGTGTGCATCGTGTGTGTGCAGTCTCAGTGTGTGTACTGAGGGTGGTGTGAAGCTGTGTGTTTGTGTGTGTGTGCATACATTTCACACTTGATCAAATAGTAATTGCATTTTTTTAAATAGCTAGCTAGAAGTGGGAAACTGACATTTCTTCTTCTTATTTTTAAGTTGTTGTGTTATAACTATTAAATTTAATAATACAGGAAAAAAAACAAAATGGCATATTCTGAAGTCAAGCTTCAGCATTAAATATTGGAAGAGAGAATCTAATATTTAAAGAGTATTTGTTTTGCTGAAAAACAACCCTTTTCTGCATGCAAATTTAACTCCATATGTACTAAAAAACAACTTCTTAGCACCAAATTTTTAGTTTTTCTTCTAGGAACTAATTGGAGAAAAATGTTTTGTAACTCAGTGTTGCCATAATTGTTCAATAGTCTGAAATAAATACAAAGCAATTAATGCCATAATGGTTTTGCACGTGACAAGAAAAAATTTGAATGCATGTATTGCTATCAAATCTAGATTTGAAGTGATCGGGCTTGAGAGATGGAAACTGAAAGCCGCTCCATACTTTTATATCTGAGTCGGCTAAAGACAGGACATCTGTGAAAATGTGGGAAAAAATAATAATACTAATAAAAATAAAAAAACAACAGTGCCCACTTTGTGACTCAGTGTAGTGTGAGCTCTTTAAATAAATCCCCATGATCACTTCTTTACTGGTAAGAGAAGCAGAACTGTGTATTTAAAGCTGGAGTGTGGGACCTTTGCATAAAAATGAATGTCTGCTATAGTCAAGGCTATTAGCACCTGATAAAACTCTCTAAACTTTGCAGTTTATTGAAGTTTGAAATGTGAGATGTGTGGCGAAATAGCAAGAGCTAAACTTTGGGAGCTATGCAGTTGGAGTTGGGCTAGACGTATGGCAGATAGAAACTGAATCCTTAGTAGATTTATGCTTCTAATTTCTTTGAATACTCTGGATGAAAAAAAGAAAAGAGTTCACCAGTCAGATGAGAGACTAAGATCTAAAAAAGAAAGATGCGATCTTTCTGGCTATCTGAATAGTTGTTTAAAAATAAAGTTTATCCAACTATTTCTTTTCCTAAAATACATTGTTCCCTTATTTTACTAGCACCTGGTAGGATGTAGTGTCTACTACCACCAGAAGATGATGGGACTGCACCTAGAAACTGTTTGCAAGCCAAAAATCACATAACCAACAAAATCAAACAAAAACAGAAGAATAAAGACTCGCATCTAGTTGGCATCAGGCTTGTAGAGCATTTCGGATTGTGAGATTTGATGCTTGTATAAACAAGAGAAACACGGAAAGCCAACAACAATGAACACACTCCAACTCCTTCAAAAAATAAATGGAAGTCCAGTGTAAACTCCGCCATATAAAAGTAGTATGTCAAACGTCTGCTAGACATATGCGCAGTCATTTGACAGCAGCATGAATCTTCAAATAACAGGTTAACGCTTTCCAGTGAAAATCAAATAATATTTTTGTTTAATTACTCTGACTGCCAGAGGGAGGAAATTAAAGTTCTGCACTGCAGCTTTGACTGTATATCAGCTGAATACAACAGAAAACATGCCAATGTTAGTTTACTCTGTTTAAATTGTGTTTTAATTGATCTGGTGTCAACTTATGCAAAAAAAAACACATTTTCAACTATAACTATTTGATCAGGTCTGTGTTTTTGTGAGTGTGTGGTTGTGTCTGTATGTAAGAGTGCATATGTGCCTGTGAGGATATCAGTGAGCTCCTGTGGCCCTATAACAATGCTTTCTCTGAGAAGGGGGCCTGTGGGACATCTGTGGAGGGTGCTATGCTCACGCCAGAGGCAGCGCTGTAGTTTGCGGTCTGCGTCATGCCTGCGGGAGTTGTGCATGGTGCTGGGCCAGGGTTGCTGGCTGGATTCTGGTAGGACTGAACATCTGCTGGTGCCATGCCGCCTGGAGCTGCAGTGTACACAGGCGGCTGGCCCATGTACATATGAACGTCACTGTGAAAAGAATGATGGGGAAAAAGTGAATATTATACTACATCAAGAGGGAGATATTAACACTAGTAAGACCTCTGTGTTTAAGAACAGAACTGTTGTGGTGTGTAAGGAATTGCTCAATGGTGAGAAATTACTGCTTTCAATTCCAAGTACAGCAAATACTTTGATTTAAAATGTGGAAACCAAGATTCAATTTCAATGAGGAAAAACCAAAAGTTGTTCAGGTATTTAAGAAGGCTTTGTCTATAACGCTGGAACAAGTGAAAGCCTGGCCAGCTGAGTAACAGCCTCTGATACCAGCGGAAAATTTACCATATGTAAAAATAACTTAAAGAATAAGTGAAACGTGAATGTAATTAAGCATTTAAATGTATTTGCCATTTTTCATCTCACATAAAAGAGGAGAACAACAGCGGAAACTGATACTGATAATCTTAGTATATGTACTGTGTGCTGTAGCAGGACTGTGGGTAACCTCAAACTCACCTGGGAACTGGTTGACCAGGAATGGGAGTTCCAGGAGGAAGTTGCTCCATAGGAACGGTATAGCCTTGCACCCCAGCACTGCTCATGGCATATGAACCTGATGCAGGCTGACCAGGGTAGACCTGTGGTGACAAATATAAACACAAAGTAAATATTAATATTCAATCAGCTTTAAAGTCCTTGAAAAAATGACAACACCTAATGTTGTCTGCGTAGATTCTCAATCATTCAGGTTCATGGTAATCTATCTTTTCTTTCCAAGCGTCTTAGACTTCCCAGTGTTGATACTTCCCTTTCAGAATGTAGCTGCTTCTCAAATTTTAAAAAAAGAAAAAAAAAGAAGAAGTTTGTATTGACTTCACCTGTTGTGCGGCGCTGGCAGGCTGCTGCATGTAATACTGTTGGCTCTGCAGCTTGGCATACATGGCATAGACGGGATCTTCATTCATCAGCTTGGCATATAAAGACAGCGCTTCCATCACCTTCACGTTCAGCTCTGACAGCTCCGAGTGCTTCCTGGTGATACAAACAATCAGCAATCCATATCTTGTCAAACACCTTCTGCATGTTATTCGCTTCTGCTGAGCTTACAATGTTCTGAATTTCTATGAATAAAGCACGCCACATCAACACAATGTACCTGTCAATATCCTCCAACTTCTGATCAATGAGGGGCCCCATTTGATTGCAGGCACCTGATGAAAAAATTGTTTAAATCTCTTTCTTTGGCTGACAGAAATCCACCGTTTCCAAAATGCAGCATGTGTACAATGTTATTAAATATTTTTCTTTCACTTCCATATACTCATATTTTGCATAAGAAATTAATAAATAAATGAATGAAAATTACCTTCAAGCTGTAATAATTCAACACTGTCAGACTGGTTGTCTGTTGGATCCGCACTTTGAATCATTTGCAGTAACTGGTCCATTTTGTCCTGAGAAGATGTGATAAGTATCGGATAGATGTGAGATCATTTCACAACTTAATCCAGAAGTAATAAAGTTTTTTATCTTATACTGGAAGAGATTTTTTTATTTACTGTAGCAACTTGTGACCTTAATAAATCTGAATGATCTGAGTAAGAAAGCGCACACAGCAGAGCACTCACCTCGTCTATGTACACTGGCTCCTGTTCGGGCTCTATGGTCTCTACCTGAATGTCCTCACTGAACTGTACTGTCTTTTTCTCCGTCTTCACTGTGGGTTTTCAAGTAGCCGTAGATGCAGCAGGAGAAAAACAACACAACAGTGGCAGTGGTCAGCAACGCAAACGTAAGAGATAAGAACAAACTAACTTGATCGCCTGTAATGCTCTGATAGAAGCATGCAGCATAGGAACAGATATCAGATAAAAATAGAAGTTACGAGCTGATAAAAGTTTTTCTTTAACTTGAATTACAAGAAACGGTGGCACACAGCATGAAGGCAGTAGAAGTGCAACAGCATGATATACATACCCAGTATGCAAACCCACAGAATCAACAATATGACAAAGCCATACAATTAACAAGCAATAACAACAAAGGTTATCTTAACCAACAAAAAGTGGATGTGAAGAAAAAGCCAGAAAACTCCCAAGAATAAATTTTTAAGACTACACATTTCTGTGGAAACAATGAATTAGATAGAACAGAGCATCAAGATACCAACATATGAATATGAATGTTGCATTTCAGAGGGCTCTGTAATTATACCAGAAAAAGATTTGGTACATAAGAAAAGAGTATCAGCAGGAGAAAGTGCTGATCACACACTGCTTGAACTCCTTCCCAAAAATTTAGGCAGTGTTATTTTTTCTGTACCTATTTTGTGTCTCTTACTGCACTCTGCTCTCTGGATATCACACTCCCAGATCTATAAAGCAATGCTGCTAATGGACTAAATGGGCTCCCAAAGAAACAGCAATGATTCAAGTGTGTGTACTCACTCATCTCAGGCTCTGCAGTGAGATCAGCAGTGACAAAGTTGGAGGGAAACAGCCCCACCCCCTGATATGTTTCCCCTTTCCACCAGTTTGGGTCACTGGGAGAAAGAAAACAAAAAGCCCATTCAATTATGAGAAAAATGTTGCCTTTAGTAATTGAATTTAATCCTTAATAATTTCATTGGCATTTTACAAAGTCATTTCCAGACCTCTTTAAAGCATGAATACATAGATGTGATGTTTAAAACGTATTTTTCTTTTGAGTTCATGGATTCTGTGCTTTTCTAAAGAGCATTTCAAAAAGGCTTCAAAGAGAACAGCCATCCAAATAAGAACGCAACATAGGCCCGGGAAATCTGCTCACTATTATATACTGAAAGTCCTGGTTTGTTGTGTGCTCTTGATTATATTTGTGTAAATGTTCACCTATCGTCCAGGATAGTGATGATTTCTCCCGACTTAAAGGTGAGCTCATTGTCCTCTGCAGCCTCAAAATCGTAGATGGCACGGACTTTTCTGCCGTCAGACTTGTGTGAGGAGAGCAGGGTGGAGGTGTTTGGGTAAAGACTCGACATTGAGGTCTGCGGTTGCTGACGCTGCTCCTTCAGAGACAACTCGATAGCTGCACACAAGAGAGATAATAAGATAATCACAAGAGTGTGATTGTGTGTTTGCCCTTGAAAACCTTGTGGAACATCTGCAATTCATTAATCCACAATAACAGGGGGAGTTTTTCAAAGCCAATAAACAACAGTTAAAATGTGTTTAATGAACATGCTTCTAATGCACTTCTATGTGTGTCTGAATACTAAAAAGAGTCTTTATACAAGAGTCCTTTACAAAAACTGTGCACTGCTCTGATTATCTGATAGAGTCCTCTTTACCTTTGGCCAAATCCTCCTCTTCTTTTTTGTTTGTTGATGTGGAGGGATCCTTTGCCACTAAAGCTGGGCTTGCTTTTGCTTGCTCAGCAGCCTGTGAAGACAATAATCATGTGCTTCACATAAATAATGACTTACACTCATGACTCAAAAGAATAAAAGAACATGGATGGATTTTGAGCAAACCAAGAGAGATACTAGCATTACAAATAGAATGAGCCAGAACTTAAAAGTCTGATCTTAACCACTAGCGCTGCAACGATTCGTCGGCATAATTGATGACATAGACTATAAAAACACGTCGACGTGGAATTTTAAAGGATTTCCCAGAAAACAAAGTTGAATGCAGACTGTCAAAGCAGAGCTTTTCCTTCCACAGCAGCACGACTGCAGTGCACCAGAATGTAAAACGTCAGCAATCTGGAGCTGTGACGTCAACTCTGAGTGGGTCAGTTTTAGAGAGTTAAGTTAGTGTGTCGCTTTGATACCTTGTTTATATTAATGTTTTTACAGTAATGTTTATGTTAGCTTACCTGTCGTAAGGTAAAGATGATGCTTGTTGAGCGAACATCATTTCAGTTTTGTTAGCTAATGAGTGAAATGCGATAGTAAAGCATTAAACAGGAGTCGCTACACTGTCTCCTAGTTTTTGTTTTTCTCACATTAATATTAGCGTTTATTCTGAACAGTAAACATTTTCCAACTTACGTCAGGTATGTATCCACTGCAATTGTGGGGGTGGGGTATAAACCACCATACTCATATACCAACCTGGGAGCCCACAGCAGGGAACGTGACACCCTGTTCCCGTAAATTCTTGATCATTGCTGAGATCAGGCTGAGCTGCGGATCATTGCGGAAGTCTTCCGCCCACTCCACCATCAGGGCCTTCAGCTTCTCGCAGACTTTGGGGTGGCCCTGGAGAACACGCATTAAAGCATTTTATGCCAACACGGATCAAAAGTGAACCTTTTTGAAGAAATCCCACATAGTTAATGTGGCTTATTTGGACAACACACAAGAAAGTGAAATTTACCACACACCTTGTTTAAGACATTACTGACTTCACTGGCAAACTCTCTGGAGCACACCTCCAAGTGGAAAATTTTCCCACAGTTTGAAACACAGGCACCGAGAAGCTGCGAAGACAAAGTGTGCATCCTATTCATGAACCTCATGAAGTAAGTAAACACCTGAAATACTTTTGACATACGTAATTTATCACTTATAAAAGAGTAAATGTGGTTACTTTATTAGCTTATAGCTTAGTGTCATTTAAGAAATAAGCTATCAAACATAAACAAAACATGGCTGTTTGTTAAGAGTCTGCTTACAGTCAGTGCCTGCATGGCTACGTGAGGGTCCTTGTGGTTCACTCTTCTCATTATAGAGCGGAGGCATTCTTTGGGCCTGGAACAGAACAGCACAACTCAAAGGTTTGAGAAGGTTAAGCTATATTAAGCTCTTCTTTTAAATTTCTTTAGACTTCCTTGAATATATATTCTAATGATCCAAAACTCAAAAATATAAAAGAAATGTGTTGGTATGCCTCAGAATGAGGAATGTTAACTGACCCAGTGCGTGACTGCCCTATCTTGTCACATATGTCCAGAATGAGGCCCCAGTCCTCAGCAGTGTTCATCTCACTGGTTGCTTTCTCTGCAGGAAAGAAGAACACCAACCGGCGTGAGAAGAAGTCTTTACAGCAAAAGCATATTTTTTCTGCATGACTGTATTTAGAGATGGGAAAGAAGAGACATGGGAATTCTGTAGAGGAGTAATAAAGCTACTGTAATCCTACAAAAAAAAAAGAATCACTGTTGTAAATGGTCCGTGAGAATCCTCTTTTCATGATCATGTTTGGTATTGAGAAATCAAAACAACAAGATTACTATGTTCCTCTGACAATATATGAGAAGTGCCCCATCAACACTACCGCACTACAGTGAACACAATCTAACAGCTCATGATCTGCGAAGACTTCACCTGAAGTTTATCTAAGGATCAGTGCATTTCAATCAGCAGTGGGTTCTATTTGCCACTTAAGAATTGTGTTTTTGGGGTTTTCCTTCCAAATGAAATGGTTAGTCTTGCATCTACTCTGTGTGTTTGACTCCTCTGGTCTTGGAAGCAGCTTCATGTTTTACCAAGTACCACTTGTGCAATTTTGAGCAGATAAGGTGTTTAACAAGAACATTTTAGATTTAGATTAAACAGATGTTAAAATGCTTTGTCTGACAACATTTTAACATCTTCTTGAATGTTGTGCCAATAATATTTAGCCAATAATAAACATCAGTCAGTGGCATCACATAGCAATCAACAGCGCTGATTTTTCAGGGTTGCAGTTGAGCTGGAGTCTATCCCAGCTGTCAAAGAGCAAGAGTCTAAGTTAGCCCTGGACAGGGTCCCAGTCTATTACAGAGCTAAGTGTATTCCAAGTATAAACATAGGAATGGAAATAAGATGTGTAAATAGCTGACATTGCTTTCTAACATGAGTCATCAGTTGCTGTTACTGGGAAGTAGAAGTAATAATTGGGAAGTAATAAGTACATTAAAAAGTTTTTTTTGCTTCTTTTGCTCTTGACAAAAGAAGCATTAGAAAAATATGTCTATATACCCTAAACAAGATTGGAAGTATTAGAGATGGACAGAAAGCCAAAATTCATTATCCTTGTTATGTGGCACCCAGTTTTATCTACCTGCCACACCTGACTGTGTTCAAACCATCAGGAACCTCTTTGAATGTTTGGAAGATCTGGAATCACAGATGTAAAAAACAAAAACAAACCCTTAAACTAAAGAAAGAAACTAAGAAAAACTGAAGTTATTTTATTCAGACCCCCAAGCTACACAACCATCCTCAGTGAGGCAGATAGTCCTTTAACCAGACAATCTTTGTGTTTTTATGAGACATTCCGTGAATTTTAGCAATCAAAGGAATGTTGTGAAGGAGAGCTTTTACCAAGTGAAAACCACTGCTAGAGCCAGTTCTGTTATCCAAGCCTTTACCAAATCTCACCTGGTCTAATGCAATTCTCTGTATATAGGATTGCCCAATTCCACGCTTTCCAGTTGGTTCAAAACGCAGCTGATTGACTCTTGTACAAAGAAAAGATAGCTCATCGCTCCTGTTTTAGTTGAACTGCATTGGCTGTCTGTGAAGTTTCCAATAAATGAGTTTCACAACAGATATTTTTTTTGTCTGTAGGTCACCAACTCATTATCCCAACAACTTCTCTCAGTGCCCCTTACTTGACTGAAAGCTAAAGGCAACCAGGCAAATGTGGTTACTGCCCCTGGCTCTGGAATAATCTGCTTCCCCAAATAAGAATCTGATCAACAGCTGATGATTTAAATCAGCTCTAAAGATTTATTTACACTTGCTTTAATTAAGTCTGAGGTCCCTCATGGTTTGATCACACTCACTGCAAATGTCTTTTTTCCACCCGTTTTAGTTGACTAGTAATGTTTTTTATTCTTATTTCTGACGTTTTTTTCCACTTATTATTTTTCATTATGTTGACTGACTATGTGAGCCTGTAAAGCACTTTGGCTGCTGTCATGTCATACAAAACAGTATAGTGAAGTAACAGATGCTCACAACAGTAGTAAAAGCCAGGAACAGAAGAGCACGATCAGTTAAAGGCTGGTTTGTTTTATCAAAACAGCATTTACTGCTGGGTTTGGGCTTGAGGCTGTGTATGGGGCTCTGCAAGTGAACGGTGTTGTGTATTTTTCATCTATATGAAAACTACACGCTCTACATGAAAATTAGGTGGCTAACCACTCGACAAAGATCAAAGAGACGACAGGAAATACAGCGATACTCTGTGGTTTCCCATAGCTCCGCATCCTCTTTCACTTCCACTCACTGTGAGAGGTCAAGCACATAATTGTGGTTAGTTAACAGAAGATGGGATACATAAAGGTAGCCAGTGATATGGCTTGCTAACTCAATTCAGTGATCCGATGACAAGCCTGTGTCTCCGCCTTCATTAAGAGTTGGCCTGACTTAAATAATACACGTAATACATCTCGAGAATAACATCACCAGTTTAGGATGCTTTCGCCAAACGGTCACTTGCTGTTTGCTAGCTAAATATACACATAGGATAGGGGAGCAAGCTAGCCATCTATGCTCCTCAAAAACAAGCAAAGCAGACATCAAAATTAATATCATGGGCTTCAGGTTGTCAGTTTACACAACCTACAGTATGTACCAAACGTTACCCATATACCAATAATATATATCCAGTGGCTAAGTGAAATGTTCCCCACAGCTGGAGAACACAAACAAAGCTGTTTGGTCACAGCTACTTAGCTAGCCTGCTAATAACAGCCTCCAGTTGTGATTACTCACCAACATCTTGGTCAAAGGGGTTAGTCGTGAAGAGAGGCATCGCTTGGTGTATAGACGACAACAGATTTCGCCCTTCCCAGATATTTTCTTTCCCTCTTTTTTCTTATTTCATACAATACAAATGCATAGTAACGACAACCTAATGGGTATCAAAGGCAGCTAAATGATTCTTTTCACACAGTCACTCCTTCGCCAGACGGCAACAAGCAGGGCATTCTGGGTAATCGAAGGAGCCCTCACTGTATTTAATAAACGGTTATAAGCTTCTACAGTTTAACACTCCCTGTCGGACTACTGTTCATCCCTGTGTGCTGTCTGCAAACTAGAGAGAATGAATCATAAGTCACCAATTGTCCTTGGCATAGAAAAAAATAACATGTCATCGTCAGGTGATGTCGATCACGTGACAAAATGTGACTGTGAGGCTGCAGCGCGTGAAAATGAGTAACACATAAAGACTTTAATCTTGTAGTTAAGAGGATTTGTGTGGCGTAAGTGAAGCAATAAATGAGTAATTACTAATTTAAGTAATTAACAGTGGTCTAAACTAAACTACATTAACCAATATGTAATTCTAACACAGATGACATTAACTGCTTGATGTCTACAAACCTTTTAAAATTGAACAGAGACAAGAAAGAAATATTTGAGATATTTATCCAGTTATATTACTGGATATATGATCAGTTTAAAGCAGCGGCATCCAGAATCCCTACACAGAAACAGAAACTTTATCAAATTACCCCAATATTGAAGTCTTCACTGGGTCCTGGTTCCACCCAGGATTACGTTTAAAATCTCTGTTAGTTCATACAACTCTCAGTGATTTGCTTTTCAAGTACATCTCTGACTTGCTCGGTAAGACCAAGTGGACCTCTCTAGAGAGGTGCAAATCTTTTAACTATTCCCTGAGTTGGACCTAAATGCGCTGAGGGTGCTTTGCATCACTGTTGTCTTGTCCTTTGGACCAAGATCCCTAAAGTCAAGACACAACTGTGTCTATGTTAAAGTTCTGTTTAGTTGATAATTAGTTGTTAATTGCTTTAGGACATTACCGAGATACAGTTTATGTATGGAAAGCACACTGAGTTTAATTAAAAGTGTATATATGTGTGTGTATATTATAATATATATATATATATATATATAATATAATATTATAAATATATATAATTATATATATTATATATATATATATATATATATAATATATATATATATAACGGGCACCAATATTAGCCTATATATAATTCAAGTATATTTTTGAAAAAATTATACATTTTAAGAATTTTGTTAGTGCTTAGAACAAGTATATAATCTTAAAAAAGGTATTATTGTCAGTATTTATTATTTTATGCATTTTTCACTTTTTAGACAAAGCCTACATATCAAAAAACAAACAAACAAACAAACAAACCCCAAAACATACAAATCTACTTTAGTACATCTGAAATTTTCTATCTGAATATAGACTGAATAAATCCATTATTTAGTCAATGTGTTGTAATTGTCAATTTATAATATTAGCATGTTATTATTATATTATTAATACAATAGTATGTAGGTTTAGGCAGCATCAGTGATGTTCACACACTCTGTCTAGAGTGTGTGAAATATGTAAGTTTAGCTGTAGTTTAGATGTTTTTGTAATATTTTGCTACTTTTTCTCAAAGTACTGATGCTATACTGTTATACACTCGTTTTATTGAAGACAAAATAAAAATGCAAATAAGACATAAATAGCAGATTAGCAGTAATATTTGAAATTTAAAGTCTCTATTTCCCTTCAGTTTTTATGTGTAAACACTTGGCATTTCATGCTAACCAGTCTGCACACATTTACTGAAATATTTTATGGACAACAGTCAGTGATTCCACACAAATTTTTTCCCAACTTTATTGTGTTAAGCATTCTGACCCGATCCATCGGAATGTGGTGATTGAATGAACTCACAGATGAACCTTAAACTGGATTAAACATTGCTATTCAGTCCATAAGATCAACAAAAAAAATTGATTATACAAATTATAATGTTTCGCATATTGCATTTGGCATAATGAAGAAATCATCTGATAATGGATACATTACAAACCATGTGCATATGGATCATGTATATATCAGATTAAGATAATACTGGCAGGTCAAAGTCCAAGAAATACAGTCCTTTGTAAGGCAGCAACACTGCTCACATCAGCAATCAATTCTCCCCCAACCTCCAAAAAAGCACTGAAAAAATTTACTCTACTTTTCTTTCTTTTTGTTAGGTTACAGGTATTTATTGGGCAATGATGACAAGTGGTTGCTCACCATGTTTGTGGGAACTTGCTTGTAAACAAATGATAATTCTATGATTCTGTGGAGTATTTTATCGGATACAAAGATTTGAAGTATGCTCTGACAGTTTAAATGTGTAAAGACTGAGTAACTGAACAAATCAAACAATATCAAATTCAGTTCCAACCAACTAATTGTCATTTGTAAAATATTATTTACAGATACACATGTACAACTGTGGCTGCATCAGCCTAAATAAATGAAGATACTCATGTTTTTTCAGTACAAAATCTAAATTAATACAACAGTGGAATGGCTCTGTGTTTGCTCTGCCTTTTGCATGGTACTATGTTGTAAAGTGCCTTTAAAGACAAATAAAAGTCCAAGTGTCAGTGATGCTCCACTGGGCTGGCTTTATCAGAGTCTTCTAGTCACGTAGTGCTTCTCTGCATGGCCCTCGTTATAGTGATGTCTTCAACCTCTTCACCTTTCTCCTGAAAGGAGACTGATCACTACTTCTTAGATGGATGCTATAAAACTGGAACTTTCACTGTGAAGAGAACAAAAAAATACAACACATTTTGTATCTGTATCTCTGTGTGTGCGCCCAAGATGTTGCATTTACAGTTATAGCTCTCCCAGCGACATTTTGAGGTGTTATTGTATGAAAAAACAGCTATTAATGATGACTAAGCTCCACTTAGCAGGGGATGTTCACTGTTACAGTGCATCCAGAGAGTATTCACAGTGCTTTACTTGTTCCACATTTTGTTACAGCCTTATTATGGGGCGACCGTGGTTCAGGGGGTTGGGGAGCGTATCTGTAACCGGAAGGTCGCCGGTTCGATCCCCAGGCTCTCTGTCCTGGTTGTTGGTCCTTGGGCAAGACACTTTACCCTACTGGTGTTGGCCAGAGGGGCCGATGGCGCAATATGGCAGCCTCGCTTCTGTCAGTCTGCCCCAGGGCAGCTGTGGCTACAACCGTAGCTTGCCTCCACCAGTGTGTGAGAGTGAATGAATAGTGGCATTGTAAAGCGCTTTGGGTGCCTTGAAAAGCGCTATATAAATCCAATCCATTATTATTATTCTAAAATAGATTAAATTCTTTCTTTGTGTGTGTATATGTCTCTGTGTGTATATCTATATAACTATAAAATAAACTAGACTGTTTCTTTTTCTTTTGAAAAACTTAATAAAATATATTAAGGTGATCTTGAATCAGTCCAATTTGAACAGGGGATCATAATTACTGGATCTGTTTAGATAAACAAAACTGCATCAGTCTACAAAAGAACAGCGTAAATGAATCTAGTATAATTTTTTAAGACATTACACATTTGTGACACATTTTAAAAATATACATTTGGAGTTGAATAAACAAACTTGGTCGTCATATGGGCTTTGTTTCCAAAAACACAAATTAAGCAACTGTGGAAATACACACAAATAGGAAATTTAAAAGTCCAATATGAAGAAGGTACTAACTGTCAAAGGCATGTTCACAGATGAAACCAATGCGGTCAGTGCAGTAAAAGTCATTCCAGTTGGCCTCATGGATAAGGCCAGCACAGTCCTCGCCGTCTTCGTGACCATGCTTCCAGTTATCAGGTTGGCCAGGCTTCCACTTCCTAAAAACAACCACAAAGACACTTGGTTACACTTTGTTAAAATTGTCCTGTACAGTTAAAATACATACACAAATTTGCAACTCACGTGAAAACTGGTATGGTTCCATCTACCCACTTCCAGACATTTTCCTCCTCTCTGTCACTCAGTCCAAGCCAGAAATATCCTTTTCCTGTGATGGCTTTTTTTACAAATTGCTAGAGGTAGAATAGAAAAGAAGATGTAACAAGAAAAAATGTTTATAATAATGTTTTATGTCAATTTGTGCAATTGTTTAAAATTAGCAATAGCTTTATATGGAATATATGGATGTAATTGAATTTACCTGTTCTTCACTGTTATTGATAATGAGCATATGAGCTGAACGATTAGTACAAAACCGGTTGGCCTCATCAAAGTTGAGCCTCTGTGAACCAGAAGAAAAGTAATAGCAGCTGTCGCCAAAGTTTCTGAATTCACGTGGACAACCTGGAAGAATGAATTACCACATACATGTTATCCAAGAAAACAAAATCACTAGAGATGCTGTTTAGATGGTACAAGGTATCAACATTTACAAAAATGTCCTGGTCTAATTTATCTAATCACTTGATTCTATCCATCCATCCATTCGCTTCCGCTTATCCTTTTCAGGGTCGCGGGGGGTGCTGGAGTCTATCCCAGCTACCATAGGGTGAGAGGCGGGGTACACCCTGGACAGGTCGCCAGTCTGTCGCAGGGCCAACACACAGGGACAGACAACCATTCACACTCACATTCACACCAAAAGATCTAAATTGCCCTGAGGCAATTTAGATTTTTCAGTTAACCTATCCCCACAAAGTGCATGTCTTTGGACTGGGGGAGGAAGCCGGAGTACCCGGGGAGAACCCACGCAAACACGGGGCGAACATGCAAACTCCACACAGAAAAGCTGGAGTGATGCTCAGGCTGGAGTGAACTCAGGACCTTCTTGCTGTGAGGCAACAGTGCTAACCACTGTGCCACCGTGCAAGATTCTATTTTATTTTATTTATTTTATTTTATTTATTTAGCACCAAATCACAACAACAGTCACCTTAAGGCACTTTATATTGTAAGATAAAGGCCCTACAATACCCTAATACAGAGAAAACCACAACAAATAGACAACCTCCATCAATAAGCACTTGGTGACAGAGGGAAGGAAATACACCCTTCTAATAGGAAGAAACCTTGAGCAGAAGCAGGCTCAGAGAGGGGCAGCCAACTGCCGTGAACGGTTGGGTTTGATGAGAGTGAGACAGGACAAAACTCACCAGGCTTTGGACTTGTGGCAACAGGAGGCTGGACCGACACAGAGCCCTGTGGTTCCTGTACTTGTTTAGAAGGTTGAGATGGTTTGGGAGGTTGAGTGACCGGACGGGGCTGAGTGGGCTGAGGTGGCTTTACAAATATGGGAGTTCCAGGAAGTCCTGGGAGACCGGGAGGACCTGGAGGGCCCATGGGTCCAACAGGCCCACGGGGTCCTTCCATACCCGAAGGTCCTGCTGCTCCTCTGGGCCCTTGTGGCCCCGGCGGTCCTGGCATTCCGGAAGGTCCATCCCTCCCAGGAAGCCCTGGAACCCCAGGGTCACCTTTCTCACCAGGGTTTCCAGGTCGACCACTAAGCCCTCTTGGTCCTTTAGGTCCTACAAGACCTTGAGCCCCAACTAAACCTTTTGGACCTGCTGCGCCTGGTGGTCCGGCTGCACCTTGCTCTCCTTTAGGTCCGACCAATCCTGGCATTCCTTTCTCTCCTTTATCACCCTTTTGTCCCGTTTGGCCCATTGGCCCCTGAGGACCCCTATCACCTCTGGGCCCTCTTGGACCTGGTGGGCCTGAAATACGAGCAGATAAGTGAACTATAACTGATAGAACAATGTGTAACAATTAATGTTTACATGCACTGTCACACAAAACATCACACAAATGATTTCTTGTAATCTTATATTTCTTTTCTGGTACAAATGCATACTACAAATCAGAAGAGGTACAATCCTAGTCACTGTCAGAAGTCACAAATAATTCATAAATATGATTCTTCTTAAGACCAGAAGGTTGTAGACGATGTAACTTACCCCAAGAAACTGAAAACTGTTGTACTTATTTATTTAACAAAATGGAAGTGGAAGAAATCTATCTATATATTCTTATACTTTTCTATATTAATTAAAAATGTACGAGTTCCATACCTAGAATAATTAAATATACTTGTCATAATTTTCACAAATAATTGGAAAAGGTGCTTTATTTACATATGATGATGAAAAGCTCTAAATCAGGCACGCCAGGTATTCCTCACCTTGTAGGATGGTAAAGTTGGTGATAAGCTGTGTGTGCTTGCTGTCCACTAGCTTCATCTCCTCCATCACCATGGACAAGTTGTTGACTTCTCTGTCCAACCGGGCTGTTAGTTCATCCTGCTGGGCGCGCAGCTCTCTGTTGTCTGCGTTGGCCTGTGTCACACTTCCATTCAGTCCCACTAACAGGTCAGAGTGCTGCATTACTGTCTCAGCACAGGACCTCAGGCCATTCAGCTCGGAACTGATGACACCAAGAATCTGTGCGGCAAAGCTAATGTTTCCAGTCACGCGGTTCATGTCATTCTCGTGTCTGTCTAATCGTGCTTCCATTTTGTCAAACTTAAACGAGGTGGCATTATCATGGTCTCTCTGGTGGTCCATCATCTCATGCAAGCTCTGGTCATGTCCCTCTGTGAGAGCTGAGGTATTCTGGATTTGGCTGGCTAAAGTGCTGAGCTGAGCTCCCAAGTCATTTAGAGCTTCTTCATTGTTTCTGGCCAAGGCGGAGTTGTTGGCTGCCAAAACCTGAAGGTTCTGAACTTTTTCCTTCAGCCACTCTGTGTCAGCCCGTGTTTGTCTGGCTGTTTGCTGCAGAATCTGATAGTCATTTTTCAGTTTCTGAACTTCCTGTCCTGCATTTTCAATTGTCTTCTGTAGTGTGCTGAGGAGATTGCGCTGCTGGGCCTGCGTGATGTTCAGCGCACTGACATCAACCTGAGTCTGGCTCTGTACTTTGACCTGGCTCTGTATCTCAGACTGGAGCCGTGCAGTGTCCGCCTCAAGGCTGTCAATCATTCCACTGTAAGAGGTCAAGGTCTGCTTGATGCCACGCAGTGAAGCATCATTGTTTTCCATAAAACTCTGCAGTGAGACATGTGCACTTTCCGTATCACCTCCTGTTATCCTAAGTTCATCCAGCCTGTCGCTGTTACTTGTTGCCCTGTTTGCAATGCGCTGTAGTTGATTCTGTAACGCTTCCAGATCTGACTTGAAAGTCTTCATCTCACTAGTGGCATTAACTGACATCACTCCAGCCTGATCATCTGAAAAACAGTCACACACTGTTAATAGGACATACAAATATAGTATAGTGTCAAAGCCAAAACCTACTTTCTTGTACACGTCACTGAAATCTCTGCAGCTTTCGGCATCTATGATATAATCTTGTGTTACTGGAACTTACCTAGTTTCTTTAAGTCTGTCTCCACAGCAATGATCTTGCCTCCATAATTCTGCATGCCCTCTGTCATGTTGTCCATTTTCTCAACCACTAAGAAAAAATGAAAGCGACTGTCTTAAAGTTGAAGATAGATATAGTATATTCTGCAGAAGGGCTTCTTAACAGCAGAGGGCATTGTTACACTCATACTGCTGCAATGAAAAACTGGAAAAGTTAAACGCCACTGATGGGAACATGGGATTGAATGGAGTGAAAAACTTTCCTAACATTTTTCCTCACAAATTCCACTTCATCAGTGTTAATAATGTCAAACACATAATCAATACCACGCCAGCGCTTTACGACTCTGGTTCCACTTTCTCTCTCCTTACATCTGCAGGAAGAGTCTCCTCTCTTCCATGCTTTGTTTTTCTCTCAGCATGTGGGCGTCTAAATACTGAACTGGAAAACACCCTAAGCGTTCACTGTTATCATTCCAGGAGTGACAAAAACATGAAACAATAACATGCACTAGGGACAAACAAAAACAGCTTCAAAGAGCTGTTGGGTAACTGCTGAGAACTGAAGTTTGAAGGTAATCTCCTTTAAATCTGTCTTAGTTTCTCTGAAATGGTCACATGCTTTTCTTTTGGGTGAATCAGAAACACTCTATAAATTTATTCCATTGATAACAGTGAGAAAAATCTAGAATAAACTAGAAACACCTGCAAAACTCCCCACTAATCTTGAACATACCTTCTCATTCACCCCTGTTAATCTTTCCATCCTTTTCACATCCTTATATTGGAAAGGCACTGCGAGTTATATAAGGCTGCTAATTTAAGTAAGTCTTTTAGTAAGTCTGGCTGCCTATTGAGACAAGTTATGAGCAAAAGCTAGATTAACACTGATGAAAGCTGCTGGAGCAGACATTTAAATAAACAATTCTTTAACAGGAATTAAAGCATTAACTTGAAAAATAGCAGCATATCTATAACAAAGTCCATAGAAAAAAAAATCATAGAATGCAGAGCTCAGATTGGTTTCTTGCACACTCAAAGTATTTTGGACACTCGCAGCAATTTGTGAGTTAGTCTGTAGTTCACGAGATAACAAATTGCAACCAAGCCATAAAATCTGCTTTGGGCTGTTAAGCCTGTGTAGTCGCTGCACAGTCATCTGGTAGACATTAGAGCCAAGACATCAAACTCACTTGGGCTTGACGCTAACACAGACGCAAAGCTGGAAGCCTAAAACAAACCTGACAGCACCTAATTCTGATTTAAATCTAAACTTGTGCAGTAGTTTGGATTAAGTCTTTCCCCATTAGGCAAATATGCCATCCGTTGCCTGTGGAGCAGGTAGGACTGTAGCAGTGTTTCACTCGAGGATACTTTCGGCATATTTTTCTGTGACTGCTTTGGACCACAAATGTGTAAGGCACAGAAAGCATTCCCCGATGATAACGCCTGAAATATGTGGAATTCCTGTCTGTTTCTATTTAATATTATTTCCATTGTTCAAACAGGGAGTAACAGCAGCATGCGTGCAGTAAGGACAGCGCCACACAATCTGTTTCCCATTTAGAGCTGTGGCTAAAGATGTCAAATATGGTGGACAGTAAACAACGGTTTCTGTCAACAGAGTGGTTAATCTTAGGCCAAAGCCTCTGGCTTGACTGTTAGTGATACAACCATTTAATTTTTTATCAAACATCAAAGAAAAAGACGAAGGCAGAGAGAAGCTGTGGTACCATGGGAGTCAGAGGGCAGGGCAGGAGTAAACAAAGGGAAAAAAAACTATAATTGTGCCAAAGTCAGACATCTTAATTCTCTGTCTGTCCAAAGTCTTTCCTGAAGTTGGCCTTATCATCCTTTCTGGACTTTCTAGCAAGATTTTGTGTACTGTATTTTCTGTTTGTTATCGTTCAATCTATTAGACAAAAAAAGGAAAAAAAAATCAACCAAGTTTGTGTGAAGAGAAAGAACTTCATAATAAAATTATACAGAATTTCATTCATACTGATCCCCTCTCACTTTCTGTAATTCACGTCATACTAAACCAGCAAACACACCTACAGGAGTACAATACAAGATTATACATCCAAGGGCAACAGGGCCAGTTGCTATGCCTTTTGACAGTCCAGGGGCTGGTACAAGTAATATCACCACAGCACAGAGGACAGGAACTTAATTCACATGTAAATATAAGGAAATGGCAAGAATATGTTTTTTACATTTACATAATTGGGTGATCTAATATGCCAGTCCGTGGAGGGGTAGTGAAGAACACAATTTCCTAATTAAATAAGTGTTCCATCATCTGTAGTTAAAGGAAAGTCTATGTATTTGGCTTAGAGCATCAATATTTCTTGGCTTGTAAGAAAGGGTCTAACTGAGCCACTCTGGAAAAACTGAGGTCACCATCTGCCATTCCACTTCAACCCATTATGCACACATTGTGGGTTCAGTGTTGTCAGGTAAGTTGTTGTGGATGTCAGAAGTTGCAATCCAGCTGAAAACTAGAGTATTTGTTTAAGCAGGCATTTTAACTTCAGTTACGGCTTACCTTTGTATCCGAGGACAGCCACCGCTATAGCGAGCAGGGCACAGAGCACATAGAGGAGTGCGATGGCTGCCCTTAATGCCCAGTCATTTTTGCACTTGGTGCACTCTGTACCCTCCTGAATTCCTGTAACACACAACAGGGTCTGTGTCACAAACCAGTGAACAGTGTACAGCACTGTCTATTTATAGTTTATATATTTTATTCCGGGACAGTTGGCATGGGACACCCATAATGTCGTTGTACATTTACAATAATAATAAAGTGCTATTCTATTCTATTCTATTCTATTCTAGGTTGGCTGTAAGCAAGAAGAATAAAATTGCAGTAGTAACCCATACACGCTCCAGCTGAAGAAGGAAGTTCATAAAAACATCCCAAATGTTTTCATATAAAAAGTGAAACCACATGGATTCTTTCTTTTTTACGTCATCACTAAGTTTAGACCTGCGTGTCTGTGGTGGCACACGCTGTGCTTTTCTCCAGTTGAGTATCAATTGAAAACATTTGGCCCCATTAACTGGCAAGAAAACTCACTATGAAACTTTGAAAACACTGCACATGTGTTATCCATATGACTGAGGAACCAATACAAAACACTACTATTCCCCTTCTGTGTCATTGGCAACTAACCTAGAACACTGGGACAGTGAGATTTTTGGTCATTCATGTCGCAGACGTTTACTTCTGCTTCCTAAAAATCCCCAACACTAAGTGATTAAACATTGTAGGCAGGTTGGTTGCTTGACTTTACTCGAATTGACAAAGTAGCATTTAGTAAGCAGAGATACAAGACAGCTGCCGTGAATTCACAACAGGCCAAAAAGCTCTTAATGGAAGAGGTAAGAACTTCAGGTTATCAGGTTATTTAGGAAAGGAGAATTTATGGAAAATTGTCACACATTCCCGATTTGGATGTTTGCAAACAAAATGTGAAAATCGTGCAATATCACCATCTGCCGTTACAAACAAATCACAGCAGCAGTGTGGATGCAGGGCTTACAGTTCAAACTTTAGTTATAACTAACATCAGGGTTTCTCTAGTATAATATCATACCATTATCATAACTCATCAATACAACTTAAGCTATAACAAACTATTATTTAAAAGATGTTATTAAAAGGTGTCCTGTACATAAGATTCATAAAATGTCATATTGCTATAGATAATCATAAAACAAAGTGGGTCTTCCATTTACTTTCAACATTGGTTCTATTATTTATAAAAACCGTGCGCTCACTTAAGCAACTGCTGTGATCACTGAACACAGTGACACTGCTGAAAGATAAGACTGACTGGGGAAGAAAGTGCAGCTATCATACAGACTGTAAGCAAGCTAAATGTTTGGAGAGACTGGCTATCGCTTCATTTGAAGGACAAAGGAAGCAGCGGTATGGATAAAGGTCTTAGAGTTCAAACTTCAGATAGCCAACATCAGGGTTTGTTTACAACCACTCTAATGTCCTGGCTGCTCATCTTTCTTTAGTTATCATTATCGGAACTCATTACTAAAACGCAAACTGTAATACATTTTTTTATTTTATTTAAATCTGAAATACATTGAAATGGGTCAAAGAACCTCACAGAGCACAACAGCAGTCTTCAAGGCTGTTGACCATGAATAATAACAATAATAAGGAGAGAATTGTTTATAGAAACATGTTATACCCACCATGGTCACAGAATACAGTCAGAAAATTTAATCCAAAAGATAACTTGTACAGTTGAGTATATCTATGCTTTAAAGTCAGGGGTAGGCCGGGACCACCAAAAGGGCAGCGAGGGTTTGTCCTTTCTGCTTTGGACCCAGACATCTGTACAAACATCATGTCTGACAAACTAAAGGGGGGGGGGGGGACCACCATGGAGCTAGACATGGATATGCCGGCCACTGTTGTCCTTATGTGTACCGACAGCCCCATGTGAGTGAATGTGGAGAGCTCCATCAGAGAATCCCCCCACTGTCCCTGAAAACACGCTGTTTAAAGTACAGCATCACACCATGTAAACATGCAGCTGAACATCTGCAGGTTCTGGGTTGAAAGCAAGGTAAGTGTAAGGTAATGAATTTCACATACGTTTTTGCATTAATAACTTTTCTCCTGGCCGGATTTCTCCCACAGAAATAGAAAAAAAAATGTGTCTGTGACTTTAAAATCTTAAACAAAGACAAAAAAAGAGTGTTTTAATTGTTGTGGCAGAAAAATAATTGTGGGGGTTTTTTTGCAGACTTTTTAGTATCTACACTTAGCATAACAAGAATTTAGCACATACTGTGTATAACCTGGGTTAAAAACCATAACAGCCATGTTCTTCCCCACAGCGGCGCTTAGACTGAACTAACATGGAAATTCATTCTGGGCAGAGCAGCTGATGACTTGTTCCAGGGCTGTAACATTTTCCCACTGCTTGTCACTGCCGGGTTTTTTTTTCTAACCTCCAAGAGATTTTGCATAAACAACAATTTTGTGTGATGTGGTCCACACTAACACTTCCAAGGTAGCTAAAAGATTCTTTTACAGAGAATCAAGAAGTAAAATAAACCTACGTTGTTTCTATAACCATTCATCAGACATTTTTGATTGTTTTGACACAGTTTTGTTTTGACCTTGAAATGTGCTAAGGTGAACAAGTGAAAGGTAGTCAGAATCTCTGACATTACACTTATACTGTTTGATGTCAATCAAAGTACATTACAACAAAGTTTGATAATTAAATTTACCATATGGAGTATTTTAAGAAAAAAAAAAGCTCACTCAAGTCCTCTCTTTATGTACATGCAGACAGCAAATCTACTTCTGTACCTCATTAGTCAGCACATGCATTTTGTTTTATATTCATAGGACCACTGTGACTGAAACATAAATATGATGACATATGTCATGAGTTGACTTAAAAGGGACTGTTACACCAAAGGCCTGGTGCAGAATGCCGAGAACCGTTGAGGCATGGTGAGAGCTGAGAAGCAGGAGAGCAGCCAGATTCCTCATCAGCAACCTGGACTTGAGCCAAATAATCCCCACAAGGCAAATAAATGTCATAAAATGTTACAAAGAGCAGAGGTATAGTGGAGGATACTGCAACTTACATTTTATTGATGTCAAATGAAAACCTTGTGCTTCCAGTCTGTTTTTTGTGGTTTGTCCTTTTGAATGAAGACAAAAAAGAAATATATTTCTAGAAAAATGCAAGACTACTTGTGTCTTATCTGGAGAACCAGAGCTAGCAGTGTTGCTCTACAAGGATGGCACTCCTTTGTGTCTCTAGCTCAGGAAACATGGATTAGCAGGGAACGTGCTGCAGATATTGAAAAATTCAGCATTTTAGAATTGCAGCTGCTGGTATAAACATTGCTAACATGAGTATTAAGCTCTACACTTCCCCATAGATTATTTCTCTGCAGGATTGACTGCAGTTTTTTATATTGAATACTAAAATGAATGCTAAGCCATCAGATTATTTAGGCAGATCCTGTGGGTCCTGTAGTATGCAGGATGGCGTCTCTATGCATCAAGCTTTTTCTAGTGTATTTTGTTCCCTTTTGGAGATCTGGGATATGGAGAGTATGGAGCCTGGGTCATTGTTCCGAACTGTTTTCTCCCCTGTTGTGGGATACTGCTGCCATTTCAGAGTCCTATCGCTGTCAGCGTGGATGAGAGGCTTGGTCAAAGTAGCATCTGCATGAATGCCAGAATCCAAGGTTTCCCAGCATATCGTGTCATTGTAATGATAAGATCAGTGATGTTAAATTGACCTGTGAGTGCTTTTAAAGTTGCCGGTGATACTTAGGAGAAGTTATGCTCTGTTATGAGTCAGTTTTATCTTTGGCAAATCCTTTATTGTTGCCATCAAAGTAGAAGAAAGACAGAGGACGAGGATTAGGAGACAGAGGGAAAAACAGACAGTGAAAGATGAAGCATTCCACTGTGGTGTGTCTAAAACAGCTGTACTTCATCTGGACTCCAAGCCAGTCAAAGAAAAAAATTCCCCAGTTCCTTATACCTGACATTAGACTTGCTTGCAAGCCCTCCCTCCCTCCTGCGTAGCAGTGGAAATTTCCATAGCAACACAAAGAAAGCCTGTGCAGGTCAGAGCCTTTTATACAGTAGCTGTGGATGGCTATCACATTAATTCTTTGATTTTGCCTTGTGTTTTGTATATAAGTGGAAAATGATGATAAGCCAAAACCCAGATTAGTCACACAGAACTTTTCTTCCCCACCTGAATGGAGTCTGACACTTTCTAATTCTGTCAATACAGCATGTTCACATTTCCTAAGGAAACGCAAATATTTTTCTTTTAAATGGTAAACCCCCGTGATATCTGTCTGTCTACAGCTGTAAACTGTAGATCTATAAACCGTCATAACTTTACTTAGATATATTTGTGGATCGAGTTCAAGTTTGTGATTTCCATAATCATTCTTGGACTTGTCTTTTTACAATCTGGTTTGGAAATTCAACAAACTGAGTAGATAAACAAAAAACACGCAGTTTATCAAACAAACATGTACCACAGTGGGCCAAGGAGGATGAAGCAATCCATTTAATAACTGCCGAGTTATTTCAGCACAGCGAGAAGAGGTGGATTGAATACATCAAAGCAAACGACACTTTTATCTTGCCGGTGGAGTTTGGGTTTAAAGAACTTGATTATATTTCTCCTGATGCCATTTTTAGGACCATGTTAAACAGTTAAACCCTGAGCAGGTTTTGCAAGTTGAACCGATGTCCTTACATCTCACTCCGGCTCCTGCAGCTAACAGTCGCCAACAGGAATGCTAATAAGTAAGCAGCACTACGCCACAGGGGAAGCTACCACTGAGACAAATTACCTAGACATTAGGCACCTTGAACTACCGAGCTAGCTTAGCCAGCCTGCTGGGCTCTCTCTCTCTCTCTCATGTTAGAGATGGCACGTTACCACTGTTTTTATGTCCGATACCGATATCATAAATTTGTATATCTGCCGATACCGATATAAATCCGATATAGCGTATTTTATAATCAATAAAATGTTTTTTTTTAAATATCTTGCTACATTTTGTATAAGTTCATAATCAAGTTTAAAAAAACAAAACAAATCTAAAGCTATTCTGTTATACTTGTATGCAAAAAATACACTG